TAGAAGGGTATACAGATGCTGATTGGGCAGGTTCAGCCACAGATAGGCGTTCGACATCTGGGTATTTTATGTTTGTGGGTGGCAATCTTGTTACGTGGAGGAGCAAGAAACAAAAGGTGGTGTCTAGATCTAGTGCTGAGGCCGAGTATCGGGGAATGGCCCATGGTGTATCTGAGTTACTATGGTTGAGGAGATTGTTGAAAGACCTTGGTTTTGGGCCTAATAAACCCATGGAGTTATATTGTGACAATACGGCTGCGATTGCAGTTGCTCATAATCCTGTACAACATGACCGTACAAAGCATGTGGAGGTTGATTGAAATTTCATTAAGGAAAAGTTGGATGAGGAGATTGTGTCCTTCCCCTTCATCCGTTCAGAGTATCAGTTAGCTTATGTTCTTACGAAAGCTGTTTCTACAAGTATCTTTCTCGACTCGCTTGACAAGTTGGGCATGTGTGACGTCTTTGCTCCAACTTGAGGGGGAGTGTTAGCGAGTAGAGCATATCCTATTCTATTTGGGTTTTATTTATTTTTCCTTTTGTGTAGATATTATGTAATTAGGATTCCACTTATTTCCTAATTAAACCCTACTAGGGTTTGTAACCTGTATTATAAATACTACCTCCTTTCGGAGAATGAAATATATCTGAAAATATTCTACCCATATTATTTGACTGATCCTTGATCATTATGATGAACTATGGTGCCGTTACATGATCAGCGACCATCCATTCGATTACGTCTTCAAACTACTGGAGATTGAGCTTGGCTTTATGTATGATGTGCTGTACACAAAGGCAAACATAGTGTATTCTCTCACAGGTATCATTTTCCGCTCCATCAGCCTTGTTTGCTGCATTTCCACATTTTTCGTCTTTTGTCTCGTCATTGATAAGCATCGTTATTCGACCATTGATGTGGCTATCACTTACTTGTTGTCTGTTGGAGCCATTGCCCTTGAGCTATATGCTATCGCTGCACTAGTTCTCACAGATTGGACACAATATTGGTTAAGCCAGCATAAACATTGGTTAAGCCAGCCTAAATATTGGTTAATCAAGCGTCTACATACGCTTGCTCCACCTATGTATCAAGCAATCTCTCACTTCCGGTCGAAATTGAGCTATGAAAAAGGGTGGTCTGGAACCATGACACAATTCATCTCATTGATTTTTGTCTAAAAGAGAAGCCAGTAAAGTTTGGTGGGATTCAAAAGTTCATTGGCAACTATGACATTTGGGAGAAGTACTGGTATTCAACTTTAGAGGATGTCCCTATCAAAATGAAACAGTTTATCTTTGAGCAACTCAAAGTTGCTCGAAGCGAACATCATGTTAGCCAAGTCTTGAATTGGAGAGGTGATCAAGTGCTAAAGAGGACAAATTGTGATGACAAATTGAATTGGAGCTTGGTTGAAGTACCTTTCGACCAGAGCATTCTTCTGTGGCACATAGCAACTGATTTGTGCTACTATACTGACCTAGAAAAATATCCGGAGATCCCTACTCCAGATTCGAAACACAGTTTCAGCAAGTTGGTCTCGAATTACCTGATGCAAATTCTCGTGATGCGCCCTTTCATGTTGCCAAAGGGAATTGGGAAAATTAGGTTCCGGGATACTTGTGCTGAGGCGACAAAATTTTTTGAGAAGAGAAGAAGTATCATTTCTTCAGACCTCGAATCTGCTTCAAAATGACCGGTCACTTTTCCCTTGCGACCGGTCGCTTCCTCCTTCACTTGCATACTAAATGTGAGCCAATTTTACAACAGGAAGCACAATGAAGATAAGGGTGGAGCCTCCTCTACACTTGCAGAGACTTTATGTGGCTGGTTGCAGACCCATCATTGGAGTGGATGGATGTCATTTTAAGGGTCCTTTCTCAGGTAATAACTACAACAAATGGTTTGAATAAACACTCAAATTAGCAAATGGTTCTTACTCATGTTTGTCTTCTCATGGCAAATTTTGGTTTGAGCGAACAATTTCAGATAAGAGTAGGGGCGCCAAGAATATCTATCGGAACCAGGGGGTGAGTGAGAGTGAGGCTATCTGCCTCTGAGCAGATCTGTTTGTACTTGAATTTATTTTGATTTGTAAACTAGAGTTTGAATATTTAAGACATGCCTTGCGTTTCATGCTAGCTACAACACTAGTACAGTAGTATATCTGAGACAATGGAGTCATGTGTTCATCAGCCAAAATAAATCAATTTTTAATTTAATTTTTTTATCTTGTTTTATATGAAATATTGAAAATACATGATATTTTTACATAGTAGTTAGGCATTCTGGATATCCTTTTTGCGTTAAAAGAAAATATTGTGGGGGCAATGCAATCCCGTGCACAAGACCATTAATCTTTTCAATTTACATATGCATGAAATGCAACGTTTCCTTAAATTATTCCCCTGTTTTCCTCTGTTTTAGAACTCTGGGTACATATTTAATTTCACCAATTTATGCAAAATCTTAAGAATATTAGTGGAAGAATTGGGAGGGCTAGGCGGAGCTATACATACTTCTTGAACTTAATGACTGCTTTAGCCAATGGGAGAGAAGGGGCTTCAAATCACTGGTTCAATTTATGTATTGTAGCAACAGGCCTAATAGGAGTCCATTACTTTTTCAAATCATGCATCGATAATGTCCCTCCCCACCTTAATCATCTAGGAGGGAGAAGGCTCAATGAACCTCTAGGTGTAAGATTTTATCACAAAAGGCATTGGTGCAATTAGGAGTGGACCACATATATATTTGAACGATATATTATTGTTTTATTCTTTGATGTGGGACTTACACATCATGGCTTGTATCGAGCCACTTACACCAACATTGTGATGTGGTGTTTTATCACTAATTAGTAATTAGCATTCATGGATTCCTCTTCCAAAGAACATGACTTGGAAATAGTTGTATTATTTGTTGCATAATAGGAGAGCCACGCTTGAGCTCTTTTTTCTTTGTTCTTCTATTCTTTTTTGAGGTCAAATAAATACCATCTGATTCTGATCTAATACCCGAGTGCTTATGCTTTAATTTTATGTGAAAACAAGGTGACATGACATCAATGGATTAATAAAGTTCACAATTATTTTTTGAAATGTCTTATGGTCCAAAGTTGTTTTTTGAAATGTTTTAATTATGGTCTCAATTTGAAATGTCTTAATTATGGTCCCAATTATCTTTTCAAATGTCTTATTTCTGTCTACTACCCATGCAGAAGCAAACTGGGAATTTGCCACATAAAAGCAGTCAGTATTGACATTGCCTTGTTTCTTATATAAGAAGTGAACGGATGGGTGGATGAATTGAAGAGGGAGAGAGAGATGATGGCTAAGGCAGATATCAATGGCAAAGATCGTAGATGGTCTCTTCATGGAATGACTGCTCTTGTCACCGGAGGAACGAAAGGGCTCGGGTTAGCCTTCTCTTTCAATTTCCTAGCTTATTTTTTCAATCTGATCGTTAGTGTTTTCTTCTCAAAAAGAAAATCTTGTAACATGCATATCGAATATACCTCTAGTACATGTAGAGACATCTAACGTTATCAGACAGTCTACTAAGTGAACATTAATTTCTCTCTTTCCCACTTTTTTTTATGTATGGATCATAATTGCATAATATATATAGGCATGCTATTGTGGAGGAATTGGATGGGCTAGGTGCAATTGTACATACTTGTTCTCCAAATGAAGACCAGCTCAATGACTGCTTGAGTCAATGGAAGATGAAGGGTTTTCATCAAATCACTGGTTCAGTATGTGATCTGGTGTCAAGAGCCCAACGGCATGAGCTAATAAACGAAGTCTCATCACAGTTCAACAGGAAACTTAACATCCTTGTAAGTACTCCTTTCATATAAGTTGTATTTGGTGAGCCAAAACAAACAATTTATAGGCCAGTTGGCCAGGACAGTGAGCCGCTCCCTTGCACCCAAATTCGAATTCCCTTCCCAGTCGAAAGGCTTTAATTTTCGTCTTTTTGGTAATGAGAAACCAAGATAATGTTATTAAGAAAATTGGCCAGTACCCAAGGGAAGACCATTATTATACAGCTTTTCTTAATTGATTTTTGTTGAGTATAATGGATGGTGAGCTAGTCTCGTCCCTTCTCCATCATACCTCCATCATACTCAACATATGTTTTTTTTTCCTTTCTCGAAACTATTTTATTAAGAACTACATCTAAAATATGAAAATCATGATATCCAAGAGTTGTTCTAAAATGATCATCCTCTTGCAAATATATTTGGGTGTAGATAAATAATGTGGGAACTGCTGAAGTAAAACCAACAATCGAGAGCACAGCTGAAGATTACTCATTTATTATGAGCACCAATCTTGAATCAGCTTACAATTTGTCCCAACTTGCACATCCTCTTTTGAAAGCTTCAGGAGCTGGTAACATTGTTTTCATGTCTTCTGTTGCTGGCGTTGTATCAATTGGGGAGGTCGGAAGTATATATGCTGCCACTAAAGGTACTGCCCCCCTTCTTTTAACAAAGAAAAAAAGGAAAATCTCCTTTCAAAATTTAAAGTGTAAGCTGTGACTCTTTTATTTATTTATTTAAATTATATGTTTCAGGAGCAATAAATCAATTGGCAAAATCCTTGGCTTGTGAGTGGGGAAAAGATAACATAAGGATCAACAGTGTTGCACCTTGGTTCATCAAAACTCTCACGGCTGAACCTGTAGGATCCTAAATTTTTTAGTTTTCATGTTTATTGACGCATCATTTATTCAAATTTGAGTCTACTCCGAATTTTAGTTTTCTCTGACAATACGACTGATATATGAGTACTACCACATTATTTAGTAAGTACATTAAAACTTATCAATCTCTCTTCTTTATATGCATGCAGTATCTCAGTGACGAAAAATATTTGAAGGCTATTAATTCTCGAACCCCGTTAGGACGGCCGGGAGAGCCAGAAGAGGTGGCAGCGTTGGTGTCATTTCTATGCCTCCCTGCAGCTTCTTACATAACTGGGCAGACTATTTGCATCGACGGAGGTTTGACTGTCAATGGCCTCCTCTTCCAAGGGGCATGAATATAATTGGAAAGTTGAGCACAAACTGTAATGTTTCTTTCCCAAATTCTAGTGATAACTGTAGTAGTGTACTAGTAGGAGACGCTAATTCCATTGTATTCAAAGTGCTTGCTTTCTATAGGAATTAATTTTTTTTCCCAAGAATTTATTTTCTTCTTTGTGGCCCTAAAACTAAAACATCAATTTCACAGCTCATATTCCTAAAACATTACTCAAAAATGTATAAGTTGTTTTTGTTTTTTTGATTTTTTTGCCAAAGTTAGGAAAATGAGGGGTTTCTCACACACAGTCAAGATATGTTATTGTGCAGGAATTGACAGTGCTACGTGCAACTATGCATACACTGGATCGATCTTTTCTTGTGTTCTTTAATCTCAATATCTTGTGTTTTTGTGTACTTATAACTTAAAATAGTGGGAGCAGTGGCCCTAGAGGTCAAAGTGTAGTGGAAAGAGATGGCTAAGAAGAACTACCAATATTGCCGCATGTGAAAAACAGGTATAGCCGAACGGCTATACCATTTTCTTTTAGAAAAAAAATACCCGCGTATAGCCGCGCGGCTATACCGGCTATATTATTTATAGAGAAAAAGGACCCACATAGCACTTAGTCGCTTACGTGTTAAAACAAGTACAGCCGCGCGGCTATGCTATTTCAAAAAACAATTACCCGGGTAGAGCCGCGCGGCTATACTATTTTGTAAAATACGCGAGGGTATAGCCGGCCGGCTACACTATTTATAGTTTAAAAAAAGACCTGCCTAGTGCTTAGGGGCCCACGTGTCAAAACACGTATAGCCGGCCGGCTATACTATTTATAAAATAAAAAAAATTAAAGTGGTACAGCCGCGCGCCCATACTTAAAAAAAAAAAAGGAAATACCATAGTATAGCCGCTCGGCTATACGATTTAAATGTATTATATTTGAAAAGTATTTCCGCTCGGCTATACTTTTTACTTACATTTTTTTATATAAAATAGTACCCTCCTAGTTGCATTAATTTATACTTTATTGATGTTCATTGGCTGGTTTCAACATATCCAAAATGGATATTGAAGAGAGAGAAATTTCGCAGTAAATCAATCTGAGAGTTTAATGTTTTCTTCTTCTTTTTTGTGGGAATGTTTGTCTTTGATCTAACCTGTTCTCTCAAGTGAAACTTGTTGGAGGAACAACAATCAATATTATTCTAATAATTTAAATAAACAAATAGAATAATAAAATTAAATATGGCTATAAATTAAAAACTGAATGTTCTTGTAGATAGAGGCTTGCAAAATTGCCATGTCCTAAGGCTATGATTTCTTGCGAAATTTGTGTGTTTATCTCTGAAGCTATACAAGAATGATGATATGAATGTTCTCTGCGAATTTGGTGTAATTGTACAGACCCAGGGCTTGTGTTTAAATAGAGTGGTTGATACCTGTTCCAACATGTATCAAATAAGGACTAACCCAATTAGACAAAAACATTATATGATATTTGAATTTTAAAAATAATTCAAACAAATAATTAATTAACTGATCGGGTTTAATTTAAATCACATAGCCCAAGATGTGTATAGAAAACGGATGTATTATTGAAAAATATGAACGTACGTGCATAATACAAGTATTAAACGTAAAAATGCTATATTCTTTATATGGGTAATAACTCTGGCAAAGTAAAAAAGAAAAAAGAAAAATCTAAGGGGAGAATAGAGACTTGGGTAATGGCCTAATAGTAATGGATAATGCTCTAAACTAGTCTTATCGATAAAAGAAAATCGGGGAAATTTTTTTTATAAAAAAAAAAAAAACAAAACAGATCCCAAAGATGGCCCTGACCTGAACTATATTTTGTCAATTTAGGTGGCTAGCAGTCAGCATAAAACGGAGCTCTTTTTTCTTCGTCAATTTTTGCATCCCTAGAATTCTCTTTTCCTATTTAAAGGAGTTCCCAAGTCAATATTGATTTTTGGATAAAATGAATAAAAGTCAAGATTCAATAAGTTCAATCTACACTCATACTTGTTCGATTAAGAGATTCAATAAATTCAACAAAAGATTTAGTTGTGCTTCTTTTCTTTCTTGAGAACTCCTCTAACTCAGAGAAAATAATTACCATTTAATCAAGTGCTAGTTGGCTATGCTTGTAGAAATTCAACTCCCTCCGACTGAAGCAACACGTTCCACTATAAATATATCCATCCTCGCTATATCTCAATCACGATCTTCATCTCATCAAACTTATATCTTTTCTTAATAATACAAGCAATGGCAGGTGACCCAATGAGGTCTGCTCTGGTGACCCTCTTCATCCTTGCTATGGTACTGTCCCCGATTTCGACCTCTGAGGCAGCTCGATCCACTTTTCGAGGTAACAATTAATTCACATCGTTTTTCTTCATATAAGATTTAATTTGTAGATTTTGGTTTTGATGTATAATTAATTAAGAATAATGTTTTATGTGATTTTTTTCAGATGCAAAAACTGTATGTCCTGCTTGTGTATGCTGCACCCCTGCACCACAAGGCTCTTGCTGCAAATGTTGTGCTACACCTTCATCACCAAGTCGAAGTCAATCCGAGAGAAGTTCTCCATGAGAGACACAAAAATTGATACGGCAACGAAAACGAGTCTAAGTTAACTCAATAATATAGAATAAAACACGGGCTTCCTCTACTTGGAAACCATGTTCTCTCTTCAATTCAATAATATATTACAATTATTAAGTTATTATATGTCTTTTTTTTAATGTGGTATGCACATTATTCTTTTTTTATTTTGCTTAACAAACTTTAAAGTTTATTTAACTAATGGATTTGATCTACATCTTCAACTTTGCTCTCTACGGTGTGCAAACCTTTTTTTCTTCCTCTCAATGGTCATATTATAAACTACTCTAATGTACGAGGATGAGATTCAAACTCACGTGCAAAAGGGGCACGTGGGCTGGATTGTCTCTTGCTTGGCTCCACCAATTGGATCCGACTAAAATGGATGCAGACCCAAATTTCGCCAGAGCTAATACAAAAACTATCCCTTAACCAATACATGCACTGGGGCTAATTTTGTACCCAAAATCTCAAAATTTGGGCTTGTCCTACTTGCGTTTAGGGTTTAGGGTGTATAGGAGGATGTTGAAAAGTCAAATGGATCCATATCCTTTTAGAATAGGCTTAGAGCCTTTTTAAAATGTTGCTAGGCCTTTTGGTGCAGCTGTTTGCTAATTGTAGAAGAGGAATGTTGCCCAAAATTTAAAGTATCCATCCAATTGGTGAGGTGTAGCAGTTGGCCAAAAATGGTCTTGATAAGATGATTGATTTAGAGCGTCTAATTCAAAACAAATTAACAAATTAGCAATTGAGAAAGACCTAAAATATGTGAAACAAGTATACAAGGCTTCTCATACTCAGAATGGCAGAACTTGGCCTTTCGAGCACCACAAAATCCATATTTTTGCTCCCCTGATTGATTTGCATTGCTTAAGGCCTAACTCAGGTTGAACTTAGGAAAGGGAACGTAAAAGAGTTGTTACGTCATTTTTCCTTTGTGTTCTTGCAACACCAACCTCGTTCATGTAATTTTGTGGTCCACCAACTAGCCAAATTTGCTTCATCTTATACTGAGACATGTTACTCGATGGAAGAATCGCCTAGCTGGCTTCACTCTTACCTTCACGAAGATTAGTCTTATTTCCATTTGCTTGATGAATAAAATCTCTGACCTAGGGCCGGTACACCCACTTATGCAACTTGCAATTCTTGTGTTGACTTGGCAAAGCTAATAATTGAATCTGCAATACCAAATGAAATACTTGCAAGAAATTTCTTAGTTGGAGACAGAGAATAGCCAAAACACAAATAAACCTGCAAGAGAATCCTTTTCTGTTCTTCTTTCAGTTGAACAAGAGAATCCTTCTCAGACAGAAACAAATTGACTACGTCTCTAATAATTTTTATATATCATATGTACATACATTTCAGTTATATTATTCATTGCGAGCAAAGATTGCAACTTTCCTAGGAGAAACTGTTTGTGAGAATGATGGAGATGTTCAAAAATCTCCTTTCTGGATTGCTTGGTAGTTTTGCTCTTATACTTATGGTTCATTCACAATTTGATCAATCAGGTATTATATACATTGATTATATCTAAAACTTTAAATAATTCATTTTGAACATAAATTGTTCGCTAACAATTTGGCTAATGTCTCTCTGATAACTTAGGCTTCATCAGCTTGGACTGTGGGCTGCCAACAAATTCTAACTACTCTGAGCCAACAACAGGCATTGACTACATTTCAGATGCAGCCTTCATATCCACTGGTGTAAGCAAAAGCATAGCCCCTCAGTACAAAGCTACTCATCAAAAGCAAGCAGCCTATGTCAGGAGTTTTCCTGGGGGGTCAAGAACTGTTACAGAGTAAACATCATAAAGGGTACTAAATATTTGATCCGAACAAGTTTTGTGTACGGTGATTATGATGGCCTAAATACGCTGCCAAAGTTATTCTCTTCGGAGCTAATTCTTGGGACTCAGTGGAATTTGTTGATGCATCTTTAAGTACTGACAAAGAACTTGTTCATGTTCCCACATTAGACTATATATATGTCTGTCTAGTCAACAAAGGCTCTGGAACACCATTCATATCAGCATTGGAGTTAAGGCATTACTTATTTGAGTCCAACAGCTTCGCAGGCACTCTTCCTTCGCTCAGATGTCAGTTTGACAGCCGTAGAAGGTCTCTTCAAGGAATGACTGCTCTTGTCACTGGAGGAACCAAAGGAATGGGGTTAGCCCTTCTCTTTCAATTTCTTAGCTAGCTTATTTCCATGAGTGTTTTCCCATAAAAAATAACACGTGTTGTTGTGATTAGGTATGCTATTATGGAGGAATTGTCGGGCTAGGTGCATCTGTACATACTTGTGCTCGGTACCAAAACCAGCTCAATGACTGCTTGAATATTCAATGGAAGACTTAAGGGTTTTCATCAAGTAACTGGTTCAGTCTGTGATCGGTCGTCAAGAGCCCAATGACAGGAGCTAATAAACGAAGTTTCATCACAGTTTAAAGGAAAACTTAACATCCTTGTAAGTTCATATCATATCTGTTGTATTGTTGAGCCAATATACAATTTATAGACTACAAATATATAATATACAATGTTCAAAAGTGCTCAATTGGCTGTGTAATAATACTTGTGGGAGATCATTGAGTGTATCTACAAATCATTTGATCTTTTATTCCCTGTAGTTTTAGACTATCACTTGTACTAAAAAATAAAAAAGTAGTTTACCTATATATTAGTTGGAACCTGAATGGAGTATATCTGCAAATCTTTTGTAGGTTTTAGACTACTATAAAAAAATATAAAGTAATTTAGCCGGCCTATTATTTAATGCTCTATTATTGTCTCAACTAAATAATTCGTATAATTCCCTGGCCCATTTGTTATTAATTAGTTAAAATCGATGACATTTTTGTTGGACATGATGGCATCCCTTAAATGGGTTTGATATAGTCGCATCAAGCAAGTTATAAAAGGTTTAATTTTTTGTGTCTTTTTGGTAAGGAGAGAGAAACCAAGATAACATTATTTAGCTTCAGGAGCTGGTAACATTGTTTTTATCTCCTGTTGCTCAGAGATCTAGTACACAAGTACTTCCTCTGTTATTGCTCAGCTTTCTTCTCCTTTATTATTGCTTTTATTTCGCAAAGGACCTACTAATATTGTGGTTTGGAGTAATTGTTTTCTCATGCTTAAGATCTTGGATTCGAGTCTTAGCATTTGTGTAATTTATGTGAGTTTAATATATTATCATCCCTCTCAATAAAAAAATGTTCTTAAAAAAAATTATTGCTTTTGTTTTGTATTCGATGACTGCTAGGCTTGATTAAATTCCAACTCTAATACACAATTTTCCACAAATATCTGAAGCGCGTGGTTGTAGGTTTGATGTGTACAAGAGAAGCATTGTGCTTCTTTAGACGTATAAAAAAGTGTAAAGCAGTGCAAGACTAACAAGTCTCCTCTAGTTTCTACTTAATATATATCTTCAATATTCTCTTCAAATTTCTGAATATATATATATATATATAACCAATTTGAAATATCAGTAGCAGCCTCAATAGATGGCGCAGGCAAATAGCAATGGCAAAGATAGTAGATGGTCTCTTCACGGAATGACTGCTCTTGTCACTGGTGGAACCAAAGGAATTGGGTTAGCGCTTTCTTCCTTTATGCTTGCAATCTGAAAGTGTTCTGTTTTTTTTTAAAGTAGTACTACATATATGTGTTGTGTTTAGGTATGCTATTGTGGAGGAATTGGCGGGGCTAGGTGCAACTATACATACTTGTTCTATTGTGGAGGAAGTGGCGGGGCTAGGTGCAACTATACATACTTGTTCTCGTAATGAAGTTCAGCTTAACGACTGCTTGAGCCAATGGAAAACGAAAGGTTTTGATCAAGTCACTGGTTCGGTATGTGATGTGGTCTCAAAAGCTCAACGAGAGGAGCTTATAAACAAGGTCTCATCACTATTTCACGGCAAACTTAACATCCTTGTAAGTGTGCTCCACTTATCCGTTAAACTGATTGAGCCTTGCATTTTTGTATAATTTATGGCATGGTCAAAATATATTGGCTGTAAAAAATTTGCAGGGATATGAAATAATTATATATATGTAACTGTACTAGCTAACTCAATATTCAGTGTTATTTGTCTTTCTAATGTTGGAAGTAGAGGTGTTAAAAGGACTGGGTTGGCCCTAATACGGCACAAGTCCGGCCCGATTAAATAAGGTTGGTATTAAACCTTCACTTTATGTTTTAAACTACTCTTGGACTTTGGTTGTAGATAAATAACGTGGGAACTGCCGAACTAAAACCAGCAATCGAGAGCACAACTGAAGATTACTCATTTATTATGAGTACCAATCTTGAATCTGCTTACCATTTTTCCCAACTTGCACATCCTCTTTTGAAAGCTTCAGGAGCTGGGAACATTATTTTTATGTCTTCTGTTGCTGGCGTTGTATCAGTTGGGTCGGTTGGAAGTATATATGCTGCCACAAAAGGTCTTTTCCTTTGCACATAGTTTTTGCACTTTAAAAATAAAATAGAATTATAATTGTGTTCTGAAAGTTGAAGATTGTGACTCTTCTCTGCACTCTATTTCAGGAGCAATTAACCAGTTGGCAAAAAACTTAGCATGTGAGTGGGCAAAAGACAACATAAGGACCAACAGTGTTGCACCTTGGTTCATCAGAACTCCCCTCACTGAGCCTGTAAGATTCCTTCAAAAATTTCCATTTGATCATGTTTTTAAAATGTTCTAACATGTTATGTTACGTTGTTAAACTGTAAATCAGTAACTGCATATTTAAACTTGAACTTTCCCCACACGTAACATGTGCATTCATCTTCTCTATGGTCTCTTCATTACTTGTAGATTCTGAGTAACCCAAAATTTTTGGAGGCTGTCAACTCTCGATGCCCTTTAGGACGGACTGGAGAGCCAAAAGAGGTGTCTGCCTTGGTGGCATTTCTATGCTTCCCTGCAGCGTCTTACATAACTGGCCAAACTATCTGCGTCGATGGAGGGTTCACTGCCAATGGCCTCCTCTTCCAAGGACCATGAAAAAATTATTTATGTGATTTGTGTGCTTGCTAGTAGTAGGAGAATCTAGAGGTCTCTGGTTTCCTTGTCTTTTGAGTTCAGAATCTCCTCTCATCCATCTAATAATATGCTTTTGTTTGTGGTTTTATATGGAGGCCATTGATCTTTTGAGTTCGATAGCTTGCTTGTTTACGTTGAGAATGATATTTTTGCTTGTATTGAAAATGCTACGTTTTCAAATATGAAACCTTGTCGTGGACAATTGTAGCTTGTAATGTTGTTTTTGACATGAATTATGAATGAACTTACTATTGTTTCATTTTCAATGTTATTTTAATCTTTAAAAAAAATTTGAAATTTTTACACTATGACCCTATGAGGTAAGAATCATGGATCTACTTAGGTTTGCTGTAGTAGAAGAATTGGGAGGGCTAGGTACAACTATGCATACTTGTCTTGGGAAATGAAGTTGAACTTTAGTGACTTCTTGAGCCAACGGAAGAAGAAAGGTTTCTAAGTGTGCAGTCTTTGATATCAAAAGCCGAACGAGAAGAGTTTATAGGCGAGATCTCATCACTGTTTGATGGAAAACTTAACATATATCTAGCACAGTTTGATGGAAAACTTATAGACAAGATCTCAGCACAGCTCCATCTATCAGTTGAAAGAATATACAATAAGATGAAACTCGTATAGATAAGATCTCCTCTCTTATGAAACACATGGCGGTGTGGGAGATATACCGAAAAAATATATTTTTTGGGCGAATCTCGAGTTGCTACATTGACAAATGGTGGATCATTACAACAATCCAATGGCCAGACTAATTTTATTATAGTTAATGCTATGATTTTATTTAGTAAAGTTAATGTTTATGCTTATGCTTATTAAAAAATTCTGTGTCTCCTGATGTTTGGCTAATTAATCCTTCCCTATGGTATCTACCCGTTGGCAATTTGCCACAAAAATCAATAATGAGACAAACTCATTAAAGAAAAAATCTATAGATTTTTACTTATGTCCATGTAGAAGCACAATCCGTTGACAATAGTAGTGTGATATGTGTGTATAAGGTTTTCTTTTTGTGTATTTGATGAATTATTTTTGCATATGTTTCAAACTGTAATTCATAGGAATGAGGAGTATCTCCTTATCGGAAAAGAGGCAAGCGATATCCAATATTAAATATCTAAAATGTTATTTTTTGTGTTTTCAAAAATAAAATATGTTATCGCATTTAAAAAAAAGCATGTTCAATTCTTTAGAAGATTGTCGAAATTGTCCTACCATATATATAATATTCTCGAATTTATAAAATAAACATGTGAATCAGAAGATATGGGTCGTTTACAAAAAAGATTATCCTAGATATTGTGGCCGTAAAATTTTTGGAGGCTGTCAACTCTCGATGCCCTTTAGGACGGACTGGAGAGCCAAAAGAGGTGTCTGCCTTGGTGGCATTTCTATGCTTCCCTGCAGCGTCTTACATAACTGGCCAAACTATCTGCGTCGATGGAGGGTTCACTGCCAATGGCCTCCTCTTCCAAGGACCATGAAAAAATTATTTATGTGATTTGTGTGCTTGCTAGTAGTAGGAGAAGCTAGAGGTCTCTCTGGTTTCCTTGTCTTTTGAGTTCGGAACCTCCTCTCATCCATCTCATAATATGCTCTTGTTTGTGGTTTTATATGGAGGCCATTGATCTTTTGAGTTCGATAGTTTACTTGTTTACGTTGAGAAGGATATTTTTGCTTGTATTGAAAATGCTACGTTTTCAAATATGAAACCTTGTCGTGGACAATTGTAGCTTGTAATGTTGTTTTTGACATGAATTATGAATGAACTTACTATTGTTTCATTTTCAATGTTATTTTAATTTTTAAAAAAAATTTGAAACTTTTACACTATGACCCTATGAGGTAAGAATCATGGATCTACTTAGGTTTGCTGTAGTAGAAGAATTGGGAGGGCTAGGTACAACTATGCATACTTGTCTTGGAAATGAAGTTGAACTTTAGTGACTTCTTGAGCGAATGGAAGAAGAAAGGTTTCTAAGTTACTGGTGCAGTCTTAGATATCAAAAGCCGAACGAGAAGAGTTTATAGGCGAGATCTCATCACTGTTTGATGGAAAACTTAACATATATCTATCACAGTTTGATGGAAAACTTATAGACAAGATCTCAGCACAGCTCCATCTATCAGTTGAAAGAATATACAATAATAAGATGAAACTCGTATGGACAAGATCTCTTCGCTTATGAAACACATGGCGGTGTGGGAGATATACCGAAAAAATATACTTTTTAGGCGAATCTCGAGTTTCTACATTGACAAATGGTGGATCATTACAACAATCCAATGGCTAGACTAATTTTATTATAGTTAATGCTATGGTTTTATTTATTAAAGTTAATGTTTATGCTTATTAAAAAATTCTGTGTCTCCTGACGTTTGGCTAATTAATCCTTCCCTGTGATATCTACCCGTTGGCAATTTGCCACAAAAATAAATAATAAGACAAACTCATTAAAGTAAAAATCTATAGATTTTTACTTACGTCCATGTAAGCACAATTCGTTGGCAATAGTAGCGTGAATTATTTTTGCATATGTGTCAAACTGTGATTTATAGGAAGATGAGTATCTGCTTATTGAAAAAGAGGGAAGCAATATCCAATATTAAATATCTAAAATGTTATTTTTTCTGTTTTCAAAAATAAAATATGTTATCGCATTTAGAAGATTGTCGAAATTGTCCTACCCAATCTCAAGTATATATATAATATTCTCAAATTTATAAAATAAACATGTGAATCAGAAGATATGGGTTGTTTACAAAAAAGATTACCCTAGATTTTGTGGCCGTTGATAACTAATGCCATTTTATTTAAATTAATATATCATATTACTATCATGCACAGGATGACAACTGTGGAATATTAAACTAAATAATGCTGTCACACTAAGTAAGATGGGCTATCCATGTTATATAATAATTGGATGTACTTTTTGTAATGATGTACACCTTGAAGCATATTCCTAATTATTACGAATTATTCTCTTCTTCTTTTTTTAATTCTTCTTAATTTTATTCCTTGTTAGGGATCGTACACATCACACATGCGATTGATTTTTCTGCCTATTTATCAATGGCGAGAAAAATTGGACTTCTAAAACTATTTTAAGGTCTTGTGTTCGAATCTCTCCATCCCAATATCGCTTGCGTAAAAAAACACACTACTAAATAAAATAGCTATATGTAGTACTTTTGTATTAAGTTTTTTATGACATAATTAATGAAATGAAATGCTCACTAAATCAAATTTAAGACAAAATGGGATCTAGTTTGCTGTGATATATTGGATCTCTTGGCAAATAATTCAGACACTCATATGCCCTCAGCACGTGGAAGAAATTAATTGGCATGGGGCTCTGGGAGGGCCAAATCAATTGAAATCAAAGTAGCATAATTCTATTTCTAAACAAAGTGTACTTCACTTGGTTTTCCCACTATATTTTTTAACAATTTTGTCAGCATACATTTTCCACGCTGTCATTTATAATTGAAGCAAGCACTATCAACAGAGAGTGTTCATTGTTGTCCTCAACCTCAATTTTTTATTTTATTTTATTTTATTTTTTTAAGGAATACATTAACTTAATGACTACTTTAGCCAAGGGGAGAAGAACAGGTTTCCAAGTCACTGATTCAATTCAATCTGTGATTTGGTGTTTAAAAAAACAAAAACCAAAGAAAAAAGCATATATAAGGTCTCATCACTATTTAATGGAAAACTTAATGTGATTGTAATTTGTAAGTAATCTTTTTATCGATTGAAACACGTAGCAATATGATAGTTACACCGAAAAAATTATAATGTTTTTATTTATTAAAGTTAATGTTATGTCTATCAATATATTGAACTTCAATTCTACCATATATGTCCTCAACTTTGGGCTTAATCCTTACCAACAATAATGTGTGGATGTAGCCAAAAAATGTGGGAACTAACACAAAGTATTATTATTTTTAAATTAATCATGCTCAAGAAGGTACATGAATCACGTGGATTTTGTGCACCTCACAAATCACATTGATTTTGTACAGATTACCAAAAACATCTCTCCATCTCTAAATTAATACTTTTGAAATGTGTTTATTGTCCCAATGGTCTTTACGCCTGACACTGATGCATTGCCTGCGGTGGAGCGGAACCGTCTTCTATTGCATTATTATAATTTAAAATACTAGCCGGTGCTCTAGATGTCAGAATCTAGTGTCGACAATTTGCGCTGTAATCATTCTAAATTGTATATTCAAACCTAATTATTTCAATTATATGTCCATGCTTTTTTTTTTAACCTGTACTAATATTTATTTATTTTTATCTTATTTCTGTCAATACATGTGCACATCGAAGCAGTCCAATACTGTCACGCAGATCAAAATAAAATATTGAATGCAGACTTTATTTTTGTTATATAAGAAGTTGATGGATGCATGGATGGGGTGAATAGTAGCGGCCTCAACACACACACGCAGAGTCACAGAGTAGAAGAGAGTGAGAGAGAGAGATGGCTAGGGCAGATATCAGTCGTAGATGGTCTCTTCAAGGAATGACTGCTCTTGTCACTGGAGGAACCAAAGGAATGGGGTTAGCCTTCTCTTTCAATTTCTTTGCTAACTTATGTTTTCAATCTAATCCCTGAGTGTTTTCTCATCAAAAAGACAATTTTGTAGCTTGCATGCATGATGCATCTAATGCATATTATGCAGTACTAAGAGCTTAAGGCTCGGGTTTATGTTAAGCATAAGCATCTAATGTTGTTGAACAGTCTACTAAACAAATACTGATTTTTTATGTATTAAAACGTTAAAGTTTGACTTTTCTTTAAACGTAACGTAAGCATTTAATGTTGTCCGACAATCTAAGAGAACACTAATTTTTCTCTCGCTCACCCCTTTTTATATTATAAAATGTATTGATATATATGATATAGTTTTGTATATTCACGGATGTTTGGTAATTTACTAGTTCCATATGTTGTTCTAATTAGGTATGCTATTGTGGAGGAATTGTCGGTGCATCTGTACATACTTGTGCTCGGAACCAAAACCAGCTCAATGAT